CCTCCCAACCCACAAACAAAACGAAGTGTGGTTTACCTCTTTCTTCTACCCAAACGCTAGCCACGCCCCCTTCCCCCCCCCCCCTGACGTCGAGAATAGTTTCCCCCTTAAACGCTATCCTTTTTTTCTTTTCTTTTTCTTTCTTTTTAGGGGGGGGAGGGGCAGAGGGGGAAGGGGGTTGTGTTTATTTTTTTAGGGAGCAAAATCTGGCTAAACGTTTACACCAAGTTTCGCAAGTTATACCTACGCCTTGTATACAAAATGATTCATCGCCAGACCACATGGTTCTGTACTTTTCTGACGAGATTGGTGCTGCAGACCGAAGGCGGTTATTTATTCTGTTCTGCTTCTTCGCTTGTTCTTTCGCTTTGTCTTTCTGTCTGTGTCTGTCTGTCTGTTTGTGTCTGCCTGTGTCTGTCTGTCTGTCTGTCTGTGTCTGTCTGTCTCTATCTTTTTCTTTTTTTCTCTCTCTCTTTCTCTTTCTCTTTCTCCCTCTCCCTTTCTCACTCCTTCTCCCTCTCTCCTTCCCTTTCCCTCTCTCCCTCTCCCTCTCCCTCTCACCCTCTCCCTCTCTCCCTCCCTCTCCCTCTCCCCCCTCTCACCCTCTCCCTCTCTCTCCCTCCCTCTCTCTTATACCCTTTTCCCATTTTATCTCACCCGCACCCCCCTAACCCCCCCCCACTAACCCCCCAGCACTCTACTCGCCCCCCCCCCCTCCCATGCACGCCATTAATTACCATCTCGATTTACTCTCTCATTAATCAAGCTCGTTCTTCCACATCCCACGCGCCCAATCATTCCCAATCATTCCCAATCTCTCCCCCTTATATCGCCTCTTTAGCCCAATCATTCCTAATCATTCTTAATATCTCCTCCTCAGCCCAATCACTCCCAACCATTCGCGATATCTCCTCTTCGGCCCAATCACTCCCAACATCTCCTCCTCGGCCCAATCACTCCCAGCCATTCGCGATATCTCCTCTTCGGCCCAATCACTCCCAACATCTCCTCAGCCCAATGATTCCCAGTATCTCCTCCTCAGCCCAATCACTCCCAATATCTCCTCCTCAGCCCAATCACTCCCAATATCTCCTCCTCAGCCCAATCACTCGCAACCATTCCCGATTTCTCCTCCGTAATTCGTTTCTCTTCTGCCAAATTCCCTTCTGTGAGTCTCGAGGGCGGATGGATAAATAAATAAATAAATAGATAGATAGACTGATTGATGATTGATAGAGCAATAGATAGATAAACTAATTGGTTGATAGATAGATAGATAGATTGATCTAGAATTCACGGCACAAAATACCACCGTCAGTGCCCTCGCTTTACTGACCGCGCCGGGGGGGGGGGGGGGGGGGGCGCTAATTATAGAACCGGGGAAGCTGGATGTATTTGGGGAGGGGGGGGGGGCTGGATGCGTTCGGGGAGACGAAGGGAGGGAAAGGGAGGGGGAAGTGGGAGGGGAGGGGGAGGGGGAAAGGGGAGGGGGAAAGGAGGAAGTTGGATGTATTCGGGGAGGGGGGAGGAAGGTAGGAGGGAAGGGGGAGGGGGGGGGCAAGGGAGAATTCGATTGGTTATCCTGTCTTTTTCTTTTTTTTTCTTATTTCTATTTTCTGCTTCCTTTCATGTCTTCTATTTCCTTATCTGCCTCTTGTTTCTGTTTCTGTTTCTGTCTGCCTGTCTGTTTGTTTCTCTGTCTGTCTCTTTTCCTCTACCTCTCCCTCTCTCTCGCTCTCTCGCTCTCTCTCTCTCTCTCTCTCCTCTCTCTCTCTCTCTCTCTCTCTCTCTCTCTCTCTCTCTCTCTCTCTCTCTCTCTCTCTCTCTCTCTCTCTCTCTCTCTCTCTCTCTCTCTCTCTCTCTCTCTCTCTCTCTCCCCTCTCTCTCTCTCTCCCCCCCTCTCTCTCTCTCTCTCTTCTCTCTCTCTCTCTCTCTCTCTCTCTCTCTCTCTCTCTCTCTCTCTCTCTCTCTCTCTCTCTCTCTCTCTCCCTCTCTCTCTCTCTCTCTCTCTCTCTCTCTCTCTCTCTCTCTCTCTCTCTCTCTCCCTACTAAACCATAATACAGTTGCGTGTACAGATGTTAATGAACATGTATATGTACATGTGCTAAAAAAGTGTACACTTCCTCATTTTATTTCCTTATTACTATTTTTTAGGGGAGGGGTGGGGGGGGGTAGGTCTTGCACTAGTTTAGGATGCTGAACTTAAAAAAAAAAACGAAAATCCATCACAATATCAAGACAGGATGTGGCACAAAAAGCCACCTGTCTCGTCTAAAGAAGCTATCTAATAAAATTATGACAAATGTTGAGATGTGAAAAGGACGCGGTGAGATTGAGGTTCAGAGAGAGAGAGAGAGAGAGAGAGAGAGAGAGAGAGAGAGAGAGAGAGAGAGAGAGAGAGAGAGAGAGAGAGAGAGAGAGAGAGAGAGAGAGAGAGAGGGAGAGAGAGAGAGAGAGGGAGGGAGAGGGGGAGGAGGAGGAGGAGGAGGAGGGCGAGGG